TGTATTTAACAGTAAGTGAAGCTTTGATTCTGAGTTTTCTTTGTGTGTGTGTGTGTGTGTGTATATATATATATATATATACATACATACATACATATACATATATGTATGTGTATGTATATATATATATATACATACATACACATATATGTATGTGTATATTTGGCCAAACCAAATATATTTTGCTAAACGACATTTTAATAGATTAGATACTATGTAAAGATTTAAATAGATATATAATATAAATCACCTTAATTAAATTTCTTTAAAGCAAACTCTCTTTTGTAATTAAATTAAATTGTCTTCTTTAATACAGCCATTAAAATGGCTGCCTTGATGTTAGCTTTTCAGTTCTCCGGAGGGTTTCTTTCTCTTCCTGCGTGTTAATCTCCGATTACTTCATACAAAGACACATTCATTAGCAGGTCAGACCAAAGGAAAATGAAGCCTCTTTAGAGTTCAACTAGAGAATGGAAACAGATCAGTAAAAAAGTGCAGTGTGAATTCATCTCATATCTCATAGCGATCCGACAGACCTATCAGAATCACGGCAAACGCTAAAGCACTTTCAGTGGATGAGAACAGAAGTATAGTTATCAAGAAAAATGTACCTCAATTCAATGGAGTTATTACACTCTTTAAAACATGTCTCAAAAGTACTTAAGCAAATGAATTTCTAGAATGTTCTCAAAGTTCTTCAAACCGCTTCCAGGATGGTTGTAGCTTGATAGTTGTAGGTTTATAGTTGGCTTTAAAGGTAATAAATGTGTAATTTTATAAAGTTAAACACCTACGCTGGTTTAAAATGCACACTGCAGATTTAATTGCACCTCTGTCCCGCTCTCCTCCATCAGATCTGGCCTCGTTACACCCGTTCATTCATCATCTAGTCACACATTAACATAATATTAACATAATTAACATGCATGTGTCACTGACCAGAGGGCTGTTAAACATTGTTCACACATCTCCTCTAGCATGTTTGACATTTTAAAGTGCTGAGCGTGTAGCTTACAGCGCAGGTAGAGCTACACACGGTCAGTAATTATGCAACATGTTGGCCTCGGGTACAGGAACTTTGGAGATAATTAATATATTAAAACTGCACTCACATCCTCTCCACTACACCCAAATGATTAGAAAAGAGAATTAAAAGATGAAATTCAGTGTGATTCCCCTTCAAGTACATTCATGAGGACAAAAACGGCAGCTAATGTTAGCAACGGCATGCTTACATGCTACTTGCACTATTTGTGCAGGATGAACTATAGGTAATTCACTGTATATTGAATTTTAGTATGCACTGAATGCACAGATGACTCTATATTTGATAAAACGTGAAGTATACAACAGAGCACGGAGTACTGTATCCCACAATGCAATGCAACTTCCTTTTAGAATGTTAGAAGTAATATGAGCTGCAAATTTCTTTTGTTGACAGCTTAACGTTAAAGCATTTTAATGAACATTGGATTAAAAACAAATAATTTGGATGACAACGCCAATTTATAATGCACATTATTAGGTCATGTGACATAAGCTATAGCATGTGACCATTTTAAGTGTTTCTGTTGCATGTTCACATACTAATTGCTCAAGGTAAAAGTAAATTCAGTCTAAAAGTAATCTAAAAAGTAGTCAGAATGCATTACCTGAAATAAGTAATCTAGATTGTTACTTCATGTAATCTGTAATTTTTACTGTAACTATCTTTACTGTAACTTGTTTACTTAAACGTTACTGTATTTTACAGTAAGTGAAGCTTTGATTCGGAGTCGTCTTTGTATTGACAGGTGGTGGCGGTTTACATAAGTTTCTGTCGTTCACACATCTCCTCTAGCATGTTTGACATTTTAAAGTGCTGAGCGTGTAGCTTACAGCGCAGGTAGAGCTACACAAGGTCAGTAATTATGCAACATGTTGGCCTCGGGTACAGGAACTTTGGAGATAATTAATATATTAAAACTGCACTCACATCCTCTCCACTACACCCAAATGATTAGAAAAGAGAATTAAAAGATGAAATTCAGTGTGATTCCCCTTCAAGTACATTCATGAGGACAAAAACGGCAGCTAATGTTAGCAACGGCATGCTTACATGCTACTTGCACTATTTGTGCAGGATGAACTATAGGTAATTCACTGTATATTGAATTTTAGTATGCACTGAATGCACAGATGACTCTATATTTGATAAAACGTGAAGTATACAACAGAGCACGGAGTACTGTATCCCACAATGCAATGCAACTTCCTTTTAGAATGTTAGAAGTAATATGAGCTGCAAATTTCTTTTGTTGACAGCTTAACGTTAAAGCATTTTAATGAACATTGGATTAAAAACAAATAATTTGGATGACAACGCCAATTTATAATGCACATTATTAGGTCATGTGACATAAGCTATAGCATGTGATCATTTTAAGTGTTTCTGTTGCATGTTCACATACTAATTGCTCAAGGTAAAAGTAAATTCAGTCTAAAAGTAATCTAAAAAGTAGTCAGAATGCATTACCTGAAATAAGTAATCTAGATTGTTACTTCATCATGTAATCTGTAATTTTTACTGTAACTATCTTTACTGTAACTTGTTTACTTAAACTTTACTGTATTTTACAGTAAGTGAAGCTTTGATTCGGAGTCGTCTTTGTATTGACAGGTGGTGGGTGTTTAAATAAGTTTCTGTCTGTGATATAAAAAATCTGTGAGAATAAGCAGGTGAGAATGTGTTACAATACTGACAGAACGTCTGTATGCGTTTCTAATTTCTGAAGCAAACCCAACCTGCAGGAAATATCATTCCTGTCAAGAGGCCATCTTTAAATCCTGTTCATATGCGTATGACGATAAAATAAAAGCTTTTATGATTTTAAAAGTGGTCTATTCCGGTGTCTTTTGAAGGGAAATGAGCACTCTTCAGATGGATAATTACACCTTAATCTTCGGTTCTACAGTGAAATCGTGAAACACGCCTGTCAGAGGAAATCAGAAATGAAAACAACATTGAGAGAGCGAATCTGAGATGTCTCTGTTTGTATGCGTCAGTCAGCATCCAATAAACCCAAAACAGTTATTTTCTATTCATTAGATAAATTAGTCGGAGTGCCTCATTCTGGGAGTTTCCGGATGATTCTGCATCTCTAAAGAAAACCATAATTTTCTCTGCCCGTCTCTTTTTTTCCTCTTTTGATAAGTGATTACGGAATTATTTCCAGTACTACGAGGAGGTGAATTTATTTTTATGCTCTCAAAGCTCTAGAAAGTTCTCTAGAAAAGTTCTACACAATGCATAATATAATTTCAGTGGCACCTGGTTTCCTGTGTGTTCCCTGATAAGATCCTGCAGGCATCTATCTGGTCATCAGCTCCAGTTAGAATCAGACAATGACCACTCTTAAAACCAGGATAAGTATTAGGCTCTTTTCTCCTTTAAGCTTCTAATTATAATAAATCTCCTTATTTTGAGTCATTTTCGTAAGCCCCCTTCACACATAATGTGATTTTATCATGGAGGTCATGAGGTTTCTGTACTGTTGGTTGCTAAAAGGCGCTGGATGAGTGTCAATGGAAGTTTCACATCTATTGAAAATCTGATCGAAAATTAGATGCACTTGTGATAAAAACAAGATGTTCTATTTTGATAAGAAGCACCCAATGGCTTCCAGTCATTTTGTCGTTGCAAATCACTGTATGTGTGAACCCTATTATTCAGAGAAAATGAAAAATGTTCTTGCTCAGCTCTTACATAGAACTTTACAACTTTCAGAAGGTCCTGCATTACCATAATGACTCCGACAGGGACACAGGAAACCCATTATGATAAAATGACACTGTTTTCTTACCTGCTGGTTAATATTATTTCACATTAACTGCGCAAACGCCAAAGTTTCCCCTGCAGAGCAAAATAAACAAGGCACAATTTTGATTAAAAATCTCCATAGATTGTTTAATACAACATACCATGTTTTCAACAATTCAACATCAATAAAATTGTTAATTAAAAAAAAGAAAGAAAACAAAATGCATATTACCTTTATTGCACAGAACAATTTAAACATTTTTCATACTAGATTTTTTCACCTTTTTAGGTTTCCGTTTTTTTTTCTTTAGTATAAAAGAATATAATGGACCACATTAATGCACATTATCGTCCTGGGCTGAATGTCGGAGAGGGCAGAGGTCATATAAAGATTTATTCGACGTAATAGGATGAAAACAGCAGGTAGACCACAGAGGCAGAGGATCAGAGAAAGATTCAGGTGCGTGTGTGTGTGTGTGCGTGCGCGCGCATGTGTCAGATTAACGCTAAAGTGGATCAGTAAGCGTTAAACCATCTGTGCAGCTTCTCCATCTGCAGCCCCAGTCAGCAGTACAAACCACTTAGCGAGGCGAAACCCATCTACACCCGAGCAAAATCCAGTGCATAAACACAGCTCAGCGTCCTTCCACAGAAATCACCTGCCCTGCTTGGCCCAGATTAAACACACACTTAAAACACAGCTGGACTGTGGAGCAAATTTCCTGTGGAAATAGAAGTGAAACATTATCCTAGAGCGCTCATTCTTAGTGAATTCCCCTCTTGCATGTAGACATCTGTCATCGTAACAAACCAGCACCATTTGAGTCCTTAGATGTGCTATCACTGTATGTGTGAACCCTATTATTCAGAGAAAATGAAAAATGTTCTTGCTCAGCTCTTACATAGAACTTTACAACTTTCAGAAGGTCCTGCATTACCATAATGACTCCGACAGGGACACAGGAAACCCATTATGATAAAATGACACTGTTTTCTTACCTGCTGGTTAATATTATTTCACATTAACTGCGCAAACGCCAAAGTTTCCCCTGCAGAGCAAAATAAACAAGGCACAATTTTGATTAAAAATCTCCATAGATTGTTTAATACAACATACCATGTTTTCAACAATTCAACATCAATAAAATTGTTAATTAAAAAAAAGAAAGAAAACAAAATGCATATTACCTTTATTGCACAGAACAATTTAAACATTTTTCATACTAGATTTTTTCACCTTTTTAGGTTTCCGTTTTTTTTTCTTTAGTATAAAAGAATATAATGGACCACATTAATGCACATTATCGTCCTGGGCTGAATGTCGGAGAGGGCAGAGGTCATATAAAGATTTATTCGACGTAATAGGATGAAAACAGCAGGTAGACCACAGAGGCAGAGGATCAGAGAAAGATTCAGGTGCGTGTGTGTGTGTGTGCGTGCGCGCGCATGTGTCAGATTAACGCTAAAGTGGATCAGTAAGCGTTAAACCATCTGTGCAGCTTCTCCATCTGCAGCCCCAGTCAGCAGTACAAACCACTTAGCGAGGCGAAACCCATCTACACCCGAGCAAAATCCAGTGCATAAACACAGCTCAGCGTCCTTCCACAGAAATCACCTGCCCTGCTTGGCCCAGATTAAACACACACTTAAAACACAGCTGGACTGTGGAGCAAATTTATTTAACTGTTGCATTTCAGCACAAAAACCTGCTTCATACTCACTAACCAGTCCATTTTAACCGGTCTCTATCTAGCACTGCGCAACTGTGCTCTCTTTTCAGCATAAAACATGCCTACTTTCAGTTTATTCACAAACACTGTGCTATTACCTCCTGTGGAAATAGAAGTGAAACATTATCCTAGAGCGCTCATTCTTAGTGAATTCCCCTCTTGCATGTAGACATCTGTCATCGTAACAAACCAGCACCGTTTGAGTCCTTAGATGTGCTGGGTAGCATTTAAAATGTTTCTTTGGGCACCGACGCTTCATATAATGTAAAGAAAAATTGATCTGAGACCATGAGACTGGTCTAAGACTAAGACCATTAGACAGGCGCGAGACCGTAAGACAGGTGTGAGACCGAACAGCAGCCGCAGGTGAAGGTGATTGAGTGCTGTCGAGCATATTAACACTCTCACCTTTTGATGAAATGATTGATTCTGTTAGGAACAGCTTTCGCACATACACACTCTGAGATAGAGCTATACATTCTCGGTGTAGCTTCTCAGGTGAATAAAACTTGGAATGGGTTTGTTATACAAAAATGTGATGCTGCAGTGCCGTTAAATGGGTCTAAACCTGACCAGGCACTACAGAAATGCTCACTGCAGGCTACAGTGATCATTTCTACATAAAGCAAAACACACAACAAAAGTCACATAATTACCGCTGCTTTCACTTGCCAAGCTATTAATCCAACAATAAACAACCTGTACTTGCTTATCCAGATGCTTGAGTCATAAAATTCCCTCGGCTTATCCAACAAATGCATTAAAATGTGGATCCGAAAGCAAAATGAGAACCAAACAGCAGAGTACAGATACAAAGAAAGAAATGTGCTGTGAAAGTTGCACTATACACATATTTCTCTATGGTGGGAATAGAAATGCAATCTATTATATTCCACATTCTGTTGTTAGACACAATGTAGAAGACGAATTTGGGCAGCTGTTAGGTTTGTTAAATGTGCTTTTCACCCCTGATTTATCTACTGTTATTCTGTCATAAAACTATTCATGTAAGTAGAAAACAAGAAAAGAATGGGTTAAACAAACAAACAAACAATAACAAAAAAAGGATGCGGGCAGCAGGACAGCAGGGAGAAGGATGCTCTGCCTTTGCCTTCTGGAGGTCGACACAAAACATTTTGGAGGTTCGGTTTTTCCTGTTTTTCCATGTTTTTTTGCCCATAAACATCCACAGGAACTGAAGTGTTTTAAAACAAAATCCTCTCTCAAAGATATTGGTCCCCGTAGGCTGAGTTTAAGCGGCCATCACAGAGGAGTGCACATGAGGACATTTTCCCCCTCCCATGTTCAATATTGAACAAAAGCACCGACCCCTGTGCCGCACATCCATCTTTAGAAAGGGGGAAAAACACCCCTCCTCTATGGGGAGCTCGTCAGAGCCAGAGGTTGTTCAGGTAGGGGATCTCTTGTTTTTGTCTTTACGAGTCTGTTTTTGAAAGGGTCTTTTGAGCTCCTTGGCTGGATTATATCATTTTCATGTTAAATTTCCGAGGGGCATCAGCGCCGCTGCTGCTCATCCCAGCGTCCGATTTGCGCGGGACGTACTCTATCTCAATGTTGTGTTTGCTGTTGCCTTTGCCTCTGCTCCAAAGAAAGAGCAGAACAAGGCAGAACAGAACCACACCCAAAAAGGAGATGAAGCCCATGGTGGTGGCGATGATTAGCGTCTTTATATCAAATGGGAACGGGACTGTTGCTCTTGTTCCATTGGCTCCATTGTCGTTGGGTTGGTTGGAGATAAACGCCAAGGTTTTGTTGGGTTGGTTGGGCCAGTCTGGCGAGTAACTGTGGATGTGTAGGTGGGCCAAAGTGGTGTCATTTCCACCGGCGTTGCTAGCAATGCACACATATGTCCCATTGTCCTGAATCTGAGCGTAGCGCACCTCCAAGGTGCCATCCGGGAAAACAGTGAGCCGTCCTATCGTTTTCGTGGTGATAAACTGTTTTTGTGGGGAAAGCCACATGATGACGGGTGTCGGGTCTCCATCTGCTTGGCAGACAAAGTGGACGGTGGTGCCTTCGTCAACAAACTTCTGCTGGGGTTTCCGGTCTCGAATCCTAGACTTGCGACACGTGAAGTAATTGGGTTGCAGCACGTCAGGGAAGTCCTTGAACTCTTTTCCCTGAACGAACTCGGGTGAGGAGCAAGTTGGCTGCTGGCGGTTGAAGTTGAGCCTCCAGCGGCGTCGGAAAACCCAAAGCAGACGGCAATCACAAGCCAGCGGGTTGTCATACAATGCGAGGGTCTCCAGGTTCCCCACCGAATGGAACACAGACTCCTCTAGGGTGCTAAGGGAGTTGCTGGACACATTGAGGACTTTCAGGTAGTTCAGTCCTCTAAAGGAATAGGGTTCAATCATCGTCAGTCGACCGCCCACCAGGTGGAACTCTTGCAGTCTGAGCAGGTCATGAAGCCGGTTGCCTTCGATCATCTGGATGGGATTGTAGGACATGTTAAGGAAACGAAGATAAACCAGGTGCCGCAAGGCCAAATACGGAATTGATGTCAGGTTTGCGTTAGTGATCGTTAGGGAGGTAAGATTCAATCCGTACAAGCAGTTGGTGGTCATGGTATCCAGGTAGGGCCAGTTGGCGATCTCCAGCACTTTGAGACGGTAGAGCCGCTTGAAGCTGTAGTCTCTGATGCTGTTGATGTTGAGGTTTCGCAAGCGCAGCGTGACCAAGCTGTGCAGGTGCGTGAAGGCCTCTGTCGGGACAGAAGTCAGGTTGCACTTTTCGAGCGTGAGCTGCTCCAGGCTGCTGAGGCCGTGAAACGCCCTGTGGGATATGAAGACAAGGTCATTATCCCCAACCTCCAGAGAGCGCAAGTTGTAGAGGTCCTGGAACATGTAGTCCAGCAGAATTACGATCTTATTTTCACTGATGTCCAGCTTTGTTAGGTTACTGAGGCCCGTGAACACTCCCAGCTGGATGAGCTTCAGTTTGTTGCTGCGCAGTCCCAGAGTCTGCAGGCCAAAGAGGTTGTTAAAGGCCCCTGGCTCAATGGTCGAGATGGTGTTTTCACTGAGCTCCAGCTCTTCCAGCTGCGGGAAGGTGGAGAACTCATCTGGGTTGATGGTTTTGATTCGATTCTTGCTGAGGTCCAGGAGTCGTGTTTCAGATGGGATTCCCTCTGGAACGGACATCAGCTTCTTGCGGTGGCACAGGACAGAACGCTCCTGAGCATTGCACTCGCAGCGTGATGGGCAGCCCGTGGCAGAGCCAGACAGCACTGTGCCCAGCATTAAGATCAGAATGGGCTGCCAGCATGCCACCAGGAAGCTGTGCCCACTCACTTCCCCTGCTACCATCCTACCGGTTACCTGCACAGAGGGAGAAAAAGAGAAAAAGAGTGCTGAGTTATAAAATATGAAATTCAAGGCATCCAAATCAATAAACAATTATACCACACAGTGTTGACTGAACTTCTAGTGGGTTATTTTCTTTGGCGAGCAGGATATGGCTCTAAAACATGAGTGAATTGTGTATTCATTGAATACTATTCATTGAAAGAGCGGAGAGAGTAAAAGAGCGTTTTACTAAGACTTTGACTAATATAGCAGAAATCATTTTCCATTTCCAAAGTGTCAACTGCGTGTTTCATTACATTATAGGCTCATAAAACTACTGTACTAAGGATTGTTGGATTATTCAGAACTGTGAAAAGGAAGAGCCAATGGCGTGTATTTGCATAACCGTGCGAATCGGCACTTTTGGAATCTATCTCCTTTATTTTTTGAGCCCAGCTAGTTCAACTTCAAAGGCTTTTAACACACAGTAGCACTCACGCTAACTGAGCTCAGGGACTTGACTTGGAATCCATTGCAAAGGTTACATCACCATCATAATATATTTATGAATCCTCTAAACCTCTGGTGCACCTAACACAGCTGAGCAGTGAGTTAGAGGGCTGTTTCTGTGTCCCAACCCGCCTTTTCACTCTCAAATCCTAAGAGTGTTCGCACTTCCATGTCTGGGATCCATATGAAACGATGGCATGGAGGCATATGTGTGGATTTATAAAATTCCACAATTTTCAAGGAGAAATCCACTTCACAGGAAGTCAGCAGGTGCACTCATAAAATAGCTAGCATATGCCATCCGTGAGAGAGACCAAAAGACGAGGAATTGGTTTAAGACTGATCTGAAACACTCTCGCTCTCTGATGAATTACTAAAAGACATGCTGACCACTGAGATCTGTACACAGAGATTCTAATGCTTCCTGAATCAGCGAAAAAACACTATTAATGCATAACTGCCCTTATTGTGAGGTTTAGCTTCTTAGCTTTGGTTTGGTTGAGTCTTCCATGCACTTAGACCATGATAAAAGACTTCAAAATAACAGCAGAAACACAACTACAAGATAAAACAGACTTGTTATACAATCTTCGGAAATTCATCTTTAAGTGGAAACTGTTCCAAAACCTAGTTAGCCACCATGCCTACATAGACATCATCCGAATAGAACCTCATAAGGGACTTATTCTGAATGCTACACGGGCAGCAACTTCACATGTTAGCATGTTACTAAGCACTGCTGTTAGCATGTTGCTAAGCTAATGATGCCATACTATCCACCTTATTCCTCAACGCAGAAGTAAGCCTATGGGCGATACTTCTGGTTAATTAGCCGCTCTACGGAAATAACGAGAAGAATAACAACGTGCAGTAAACGGTAAAACTGTTTGCACTACAAACCAGTGTGTTCATAATCAAGATAATACATAAAATAAAAGAGTAAGACACACCAATTTGCAAAATCAAGCAGCAAAATGAGCTGTTTTGTTCAGCTAAAACAAAGCTGGATGCGGATGACAGTGGAAGCCAGTCCCATAAAAATTACAAATGGCTGTTTTGTAATTGTAATTCAACTGCCTTTTGTATCTCTTTACTGATCGATCATCTTTGGAGTTTTTCCACAGAGTTTCTTGCAGTGCATTCTGGGATTTCCTTATCCGTCAATGATACATATAGAATATAGCTAAAATGCATCTAAGAAAGATTTTTAATAATTCATAAAAGTTTTTGCATAGATAGCACATATACATTTGCCTTAAAATGCTGTCTAGGTAGGCAGCTCACTTGGGTTTTGGAACAGAGCTTGCATATCTCAGGTTTTTTAAAAATTTGCTGTCACACTATTCTCTGCCAACCTGTCGTGTCTCTGATTATGGGTTCATAACCACCTACACAGCACTGGAATACTTCTATTGAGAATGTTCATTTCCTGTTCGTGTAACACAACATCACTGTCTTAATTGTTAACAATTAAGCTTTCATAATTATACATCACCCATCACAACTAACATAGTATATTTATATTAAACTGCACACTTTGTAAATAACATATCTATCTGTACACTAATAAACATATCTTTACATTTATCTAAACAATTACATTTTTTCCTATACTTCTATTTCTGTATATAGTACATTATTCAATTTTTCTTTTTTTCTTATTATATTAGTTTTATATTACATCCCTACTGTGTTATTCCTATGTATGTCTACACTATCATGTATGTCTGCACTATGTTTGTACTTTCTTCTACACTGGAAGCTCCTGTCGTCAAGTCAAATTCCTTGTGTGTGTAAACATACTTGGTAATAAAGCTCTTCTGATTCTGATTCTGATTCTGAAATGATCATAAAAAAGATGTACAACTTGCATTAGGAAGCCTGACGCCATTGATGATTGCTTCTGCCCTGAAAGACTGGTAAATATTATGCATTGTGATGCTGATATCAGAGACCCCCCACAAGCAAAGGACTTTTCAGTTTGAAGAACTTGTAGAGCTTTTGAGAGCCTTAAAATGGTTATTTAGGGAATCACAAATCTTGAAACACAATGACCATTAAACAGAGTCATTGGTATGCAGAAGAACTCGACCCACCCACACAAACACAAAATACATTACATATATCTCTAAGATGAGCGTGTTACAAGAAGCTAAAAACAGAAAAAATCTTGTTAGCAAATTCCCAGTGCAAATTAAAAGTAAAATATTCTCTGATTAATTGGCATATATGCAATCTACTCTATTTCACAAAATAATTCACAACTATGTGAGTAAATATTTATATGGATAAGGAACTTACAGTATGTGGAACTTACAAATGTGTGCATAAATATCTGCATACATTCAGGTAGTCAACAAGCCTATTTCCAGTTCTAAAGGAATATGTATAGGAAGTGATTCACAAACATTTCAAGAGAGGCCAATTTGGATTTTTGTTTGTAATTTGTTGATTTGTAATGAATAAACTGCAGTGATCTAACTGTGAGCCCCAGTTGTTCATCAGGATCAATAATGAAGCCACTGAAGGGTTGAGTTTGGCTGGAAGCATTCAGCATGTGGCCCAGAGGCCCTGTGTTAAACTGTTAGCACTGTTGAGGGGAGGCTGGGTTCTGTTCAAAGCAAATTAAGCAGCTTACAGTGTGTGCTACCAAAACCTGAGAACATATGTAAATGTTCTTCATATGAATCTGACATGAAAAAACTATCACTGCTGTCTGGTCATCAGAAAATAAATTGATTAGAGTTGGAGCTAAACTTTGCAGGACAGTCGATCGCCAGGAGCAGGGTTGGGCACCCCTGCTCTAGAGAGTTCCTAATGAACATGACAAAGTTGCATCTGGTCTATTCTGATGTGATCGATCATATTTCCATCTGTTGCATCATTTACTATCATATATATATGATGCATCTGAAACTATCACAGTAAGACTGAATTACTGCAGTCTGGAGCAGGACGTTGTTTCCCAGCGGCAACAATCCCACTAAAAGATGGCAGCTAAATACCTGAGCAGCAGAATCCTCCTCACATCTGTCACTGCTAAAGGAACAGCAAGCTAAGAGTCTAATCTAGTTCAGAATCAGCCTGTTCGCTAATCCTGTATACACACACACACGCGCAAGGCGCACTAACACACATGCAGGCGGACTTAGTTCACCTCAGCTTCATGTAGGTCAGTTCGGCACACAGACACCTCACAGGACAAACAAAGTTAAACACACACTTGGACCAGAATAACACAACTCCGGCTCATCCGTAAATCAATCTGATTAATTGGTATAACGAAGCTCTGCTGCTACTATGTAGAAGACTTTGAGTCTTCCAAATGACTTAAATCTCCTGAATCCGTTCACCAAAACATCAAGTACAGATTGTTTGCCAATTCATAAAATGAAAAATTATCCCTCAAGGGACAAAAATCAAATGAGAGCTCATTAATATCACAATTGAAAGTATAAATAAATGGAGAAACAAACTGCTAAGTAATATCACACATTTCTCCTCAAGAAATTCAGAAAATATCAATAATGTCTCAAAATGTGCTGATTTGACAAGATACCAAGCCTGCATTTAAAAATCAGAGATCTGAAAAAAAGTCGCCATCCATTAATTTTAAAGCATTGCACTTCTAATATATGTGAATAATTATCTCATTAGAGTGGATTTTAATTTCTCTTTATGATTTTTAAAGGTGGGGTAGGTGATTTCAGAAAGGCTAGCAATAGCAAGCTAGTTTTCAAATCATAAGATCCCACCCTCCCTGCAAATCACTCTCCAAAGCTGCTGTCTCCTCCAAAACACATGACCGCGCATAGGCAGACCGAAGGATAACCAGTGGCACGATGAGAGTCGGTGCTGGCGGAGGGATGAATGCAATGCTGTCAGATTATTTCATGTCTCATTCACCAGTGAGAAAACATTACAGTAAAAACCGCTAAATATTACAATAATGCCTTTTATTCTAGCGTAATGGAATGCGCTGATTACTTGGCGTGCCTGCGTGAACAGGGTGCACAGAGGTATGCAAATACATACATTGACAGGCAGGTAGGACAGTCTATCATAGCCCTTGAACCGAGAGATATGATTACACAAGCATTTTATGGTCTTACGCCTTCCACAGATGATATAAATACATTTAGACCACAGTGATTGCTATCGGGATGTGAAGAGTAAGGTTGCAAAGAAGTGGACATTTCTGGTAAATTTTGGAAACATTCCAGAAATGCTGTAAACTTTCCAGGGTTTTTTAAAAAAATTTCTGAAATTTTTGGAAAGTTTCCGGACCAGCCAACTGACGAGGCTCCATTTCTTTTAGGTTGCTGCCCCAGTAGCTTGCTTCCTTCGTACACGATAGACAGTGAGGCTAGGGTTTGCAGTCTAGCTTGTTTGTGTGTAAATTCTGCTTTTAAAACCCTCATCTCACACTCAACGAGAAAACCTGACCAGTCTCAATCAATGGCATGAGATTGGGGTGGGGCTATCAATTAATCTGACCAATGGAAGTCAAGGCGAGTGTTCAGGAAATGTGTTGCATTATTATTACAATTCTATTTGGTGACGATAGTGGCATGAAATTTACAGTTCACCTAAATGACAACAATGTACTAAAAATGTAAAAGTTTTTGCTTTGCGTTTCGCGTACGGACAACAAGGTTGTCAAAACATTCCCCGTTCACATGGATCTGCAAAAGCCACTAAAAACACTGTATTATGCATGCCAGGCCAGTAGTTGGCGATATAACATTGCACACATACCTATAAACTGAATACGTAATACACATACACGAGATGTTACAGTTTTCACAAATTTGCATTTTTGCAGTTTACATCGCGTACTAAAGGTGTTGTTTTCAAAAACTTGAAATTTGAAACCCGTTGGCGGCATTGTTGTGTAAAATAACAGCCAAATGGAGTTCTGTTTTTATTTGAAAATGGTGTTGTATAAATGCCCCTTAAGTCTCCCGAGGTGTAAATGAGCAACATCTGTGCAACAAAATGTTCCTCTGGGTTCCTCTTTAAAGTCAGCCTTTGAAGGTAAAAACAACCAACAAACCAGTGACAACACTCTGCTGCAACAGAACGCCTTCATTTCAATGCAAAACAAGCATCAGGAATGAGATCATATCTTTCATTTAAAACATTTGTGCACAGGACACAGTGTTCAAGATCGCAACACGTCTAGAACTAAGACACACACACTCGCACTCCATTTCTCATGGTCCGTGGCTGAATCTGCTCATTTATTTGTTGCACTTGCTGCAGAATCAGCAGAGTGTGACTGAGTGTTCCCTCATTAGAGACCTTCTACTTGCCTCTCCGCTATTATTGCATCTGGAAAGTAACTGGCTCAGGGAGTGCAAACAGTACACTAGGTTTCTATTCAGAGCTTCAGATCTGCCGCTGACCTTCTAAAAACATCTCCTCCCAGAAAAACTAGCTCCATCCAACAGTCCTAACAGCTCCTCAGAGCTCAAACGTCTCCGGTTTCCACTCTCTCCGCTCTGTCACTCTCTGTTTTTCTCTCTCTGAGGGGAGGGAGACACATTGACCCTGAAGCTGCAGGAAAAGAAGCATCAACACGAGTCCACAATGGCAGCTGGAATCTGGAATAATGAGGTCCAACACACAAGATGTCTGAGCGCTGAGGAATCAATCACACAGGGCAGGTTTTCTCGCTGAGTGTGAGATGAGGGTTTTAAAAGCAGGATGTACACACAAACATAGGCTAGACTGCAAATCCTAGCCTCACTGTCTATCATATACGAAGCAAGCTAGCTTCTAGTGCAGCAACCTAACAGAAATTGAGTCTCGTAAGTAATTGATCTGATACGGTCTTAATGGCCAGAAACTCCATTAACGATCCCTTTCTGGCCATTAAGTGAACTGACTTGCCTTAAAGGGACACTTATAGCTGATTCCACTAGAGTTTGACGTTAACATGTCGCTAAGCTAATGACTTGAAACTCTGATACACAAAAGTCAATTTTTACATTGTTTAAAAGTCATTCAAAATTAAATAGCACACTTTTCACTTATAATTTGAGGTATTGTTAATTCTGTATAGGGCTCTATGATTTCTACGATGCGGAAAACAAAGAATCCAGTCATAAAAACTACATTTACAGTATAGCGCGGAATGTCATAGATTTGGATTAAAGGGGTCATATGATGTTGCTAAAAAGAACATTATTTAGTGTATTTGGTGTAATGAAATGTGTTTATGCGGTTTAAGGTTAAAAAAACACATTATTTTCCATATACTGTAGATTATTGTTTCTCCTCTATGCCCCGCCTTTCTGAAATGCGTAGATTTTTACAAAGCTCATCGGTCTGAAAAGCGAGGTGTGCTGTGATTGGCCAGCTATCCAGTGCATTATGATTGGCCGAATACCTCAAGCGTGTGACGGAAATGTTACGCCCCTTACCATATTGTGATGCCGTGTCCCAGCCGGAGTGACGAGACAAAAACATTAAAACCCATTATAAACGAGGCATGTGTTGCATCCAGTGGGGACATAATTACGGATTATAATGACTTATACTGTCATTTTACGTGCTGCGTTGTATCGCGACACGTAAACATAAAACCATGTCTGCATTTGTGATCGGAGAAATGACAAACAACAAGTGCTACTCTACACTGCTAAAAACTCACGTTTGAATCGTCAGTGGCAAATTCTTTAAATATAAAAAAACGTACTTACAGTCTGTGAGTCAGAACAGTTGGCATTGTAGTCTACTGTACCAGGATCAGGAAACAGTCCTCCATAAAATGTGCTGCACACATCTGAATATTTGGGTTGAACTGTTCTGGAACAGTGTTGTAAATAAAACTTAATCACTGATTTCTAGTCACGTCCTCTTTTGGAAGGCCAAACAAAGTAGTTTCACTTTCACAACGAAACACACAGCGTCACACACGGCGGGCTAGAGTGAGCAGTGGCGGGCGGGCTGAGTGAGCGGCGGCCGGTGGCCTAGAGTGAGCGGAGGCTGGCTTGAGTGATCCATATAACAAAGCTAGTTCAGAGGCTGTCAGGCTCCAAAATGTAAATGATTACAACATTTTAATTTATGGGTGAACTATGCATTTTACATGGTCTCAGACATACCTTGGCTTAGCTATGATTTTATTCTCAAACTTTTGTGAAATTGTTTCAATTTGTTGGAGAAAATGTCTTTTAGATTCACAGAGAGAGAGCCAATAGCTACAGAAACCTCAAATTACAACTGATCAAGTCTATACAGGGATGAAATTGTGTTTTGAACCGGTAATCATGCTCTGCATGCTGGAGATGTGATGCAGAAATGCACGCTGGGAAATTGATTGTTTGCATTGCATCTGCCGAACAGAGACATTAAGAGATAAGTGCTGTCAGTCTGATGCATCATGGGCAAATTCACATGC